TAAACAAATTCCATAAAGTTGAAATCTTGCCATGCACCTTCCCAGACCACAGTAGAATAAAAATGAAATAGCAACACCAACAAACTTCCCCCAAAGCCCACAAAGACATAGACACTAAACAGAATGATGTGAAACAACTACTGGGTCAACACTGAAATCAAAGCAGAAATTTAAAGATTCCTGGAAACAAATGAAAATGAAGAAACATCTTACCAAAGCCTCTGGGACGCCATGAAAACAGTTCTAAGAGGGGAATTTATATCTCTACAAGGAGACATCAAGAAAATGGAAAGTTCACAAGTGAAGAGCCTAACAAATCACCTAAGGGAGCTGGAAAGATAAGACAACGAAAACCCAAACTTTAGCAGAAGAATCCAAATCAACAAAATAAAAAGAAACCAAATACAGGACATAGAAGACAAAAATATCTTAGAAAACATCAACAAAACAAAAAGCTGGTTCTTTGAAATAATTAACAAGATTGATGGACTCCTAGCCAGAATGACCAAGAAAAAGAGAGAAAAGGTCTAAATAAACCAGAAATATAAAAGATCAAATCACAAATGACTCCGAAGAAACACAAAAGATGATCAGAGATGATTATGTACATCCATATGGAAACAAACTTGAAAACCTAAATGAAATGGAGGACTTTCTGACATCACCCAACCTCCCCAGGTTGAAACAAGAAGGCATTGAGACACTAAATAGACCAGTAATAACCCAGGAAATTGACTCTGTCATACAAATACTACCTACAAAAAAAAGGCCCTGGACGAGATGGCTTTCTAGCAGAATTCTATAAAATGTACAAGAAGGAACTGATACCAATCCTATTGAAAGTACCCCAGGGAATTGAGAAAGATGGAATTCTCTCCAAATCATTTTTCAAAGCTCAGAGCACACTGATATCTAAACCGGGTAAAGATCCAACAAAAAAAGAGAAGTACAGGCCAATATCCCTTATTAACATAGATGCTAAAATCCTCAACAAGATTCTAGCAAATAGGATCCAAAAACACATCTCAAAAATCATCCACTATGACCAAGTAGGTTTTATCCCCAGGATGCAGGGCTGGTTCAACATTTGCAAGACCATAAATGTAATTAAATACATGAACAGATGTAAAAACAAGAACCACATGATTACATCATTAGATGCAGAAAAAGCTTTTGATAAAATCCAGCATCCCTTCTTGATAAAAACCCTCAAATACCTAGGTATAGAAGGAACATACTTCAAAACAGTAAGTGCCATCTATGATAAACTCACAGCTAACATATTACTAAATGGGCAGAAACTGGAAACATTTCCCCTGAAAAATGGAACAAGACAAGACTGCCCACTCTCACCCCTCTTGTTCAACATAGTGTTGGAAGTCCTAGCTAGGGCAATTAGACATGAGAAGGAAAGCAGGGGTATCCAAACAGGAAAATAGGAAGTCAAGTTATTCCTCTTTGCTGATGATATGATCCTATACATTGAAAATCCAAGAGAATCTGTCAAAAATCTGCTTACACTGATAAAGGACTTTGGCAAAGTCTCAGGGTGCAAAATGAATGTGCAAAAGGCAGTTGCATTCCTACTCACCAACAACAAGCAGGCAGAGAATCAAATTAAAAGCACAATCCAGCCGGGCTCGGTGGCTCAGCCTGTAATCCCGCACCTTTGGGAGGCTGAGGTGAGTGGATTGCCTGAGTCCGCGGGTTCGAGACCTGCCTGGGCAGGCAAGACATCATCTCTACAATAAATCAAAAAATTAGCCGGGCGTGGTAGCACACGCTTGTAGTTCCAGCTACTTGGAAGGCTGAGGCGGAAGGATCACTGGAGCCCAGCAGGTCGAGGCTGTGGTGGCCAGGAGCAGCCACCGCACTCCAGTCTGGGCGACAGAGTGAGACTCCAAATCAAAAAAAACAAAACAAAACAAAACAAAAATAAATAAATAAAAGCACAATCCCATTCACAATAGCCACACACAAAAAAGAGTAATACCTCAGCATCTTCCTAACCAGAGAAGTGAAAGACCTTTACAATGGGCACTACAAAACACTGATCAAAGAAATCTAAGTAGACACAAAAAATGGAAAAAATTCCATGTTCATGTATAGAAAGAATCAATATTGTTAAAATGCCTATCCTACCAATTCTACAGATTCAACACAATATCTATTAAATTACCAACATCATTCTTCTCAAAAATGAAAATGACAATACAGAAATTCATATGGAAACATAAACGACAATGAATAGCCAGAACAATCCTTAGCAAGAGAAACAAAGCAGGAGGTATCAAACTTCCAGACTTCAAACTTTACTATAAGGCTACAGTAATCAAAACAGCCTGGTATTGGTACAAAAACAGGCATATAGACTAATGGAACAGCATAGAGATTCTGGAAGCAAAGCCTCAATTTCTCAACCAAGTCATCTTTGACAAAGCCTCCACTAACAACCACTGGGGAGAGGAGGACCTATTTAGTAAATGGTGCTTGGAAAATTGGCTGATCACATGCAGAAGATTGAAACAGGACCTCTACCTAGCACCATACACAAAAATTAACTCTAAATGAATCAAAGACCTAAACATAAAACCTCAAACTATAAGAATCTTAGAAAATGCAGGAGACACCCTTACGGAAATTGGAACTGGCAAACCAATACGTGATCAGAACCCTAAGTGCCCAATACCATAAGGAAATAAGAGAGACAAGTAGGACCTCATCAAACTGACGAGCTTCTGCAAAGCAAAAGAAACCATCAAGAGAGCAGGAAGACAGCCCACAGAATGGTAAAAAATATTTGCCAACTGTATATCTGACAAATGGCTAACATCTAGGATCCACAGAGAGCTCAAATGTACCGAAAGGGAAAAAACAAACAAACAAACAACCCCATTAAGAAGTAGGCAAAAGACATGAATAGACACCTCTCAAAAGAAGATATACAGGCAGCCAACAGATACACGAAAAAGTGCTCAGCCTCACTAATCATCAGAGAAATGCAAATCAAAATCAAATAGAGATACCACCTAATCCCAGTAAGTATGGTCATCATCAATAAAAAAACCAACAACAGATGCTGGCGAGGATGTGGAGAGAAAGGAATGCTTCTGCACTGCTGGTGGTAATGCAAAACATGATCCTCTTTGGAAAAGTGTGGTCATTTCTGAAAGAGCTAGAAATTGACCTTCCATATGACCCAGCAATTCCCCTATAGGGAATATACTCAGAGGAACTCAAATTATTCTACAAAAAAGATACCTGCACACATATGTTTATTGCAGCTCTATTCACATAGCAAAAACATAGAACCAACCATGCTGCCCATCGAAGCTGGACTGTATAAAAAAAAGTGATACATATATACAATGTAATATTATGCAGCCATAAAGAAGGACAAACATATGGACTTTGCAGCAACTTGGATGAATTTAGAGACTATCATATTCAGTGATCTATCACAGAAACAAAGAACAGAGTACCATATGTTCTCACTCATAAGCAGACCACGAACAATAATCACAATACTGAAAGAAAGGAATTGGCAGTAGTGGGAGACTGGCAGGGTAGGGGGGGTGGGACTGGCAGTTCAGGGAAATTGCTAGGGGAGGGAGGAGCACACCTCATCAACAAGGCTACCTGCATAATGAACATCTGTATACCTAATCCTGCATTGTACCCCACTTCATTAAAATAAAAAAATTAAAAAAGAAAAATAAAAAAAGAAAATAAATCACACTTGCTTGAAAACTGAGTATTTATTAGCTCTGAGAGATAGTATCAAAAACAGAAAAAATATAAAAGCTTAATCTGCTTTACATGAGCTGATGTTTAAATTATTTTGTTGCTCCTAAAAAACCTCAGGAGATGCTTTGTTTCTAACTGGCCACAAAGAGGGCCTTGGACTACTATTATATAAGTATATCACTGAAAAGAATATATAGTTTTTTAATGGCTAATAAATAGTCCAAATTAGACATAATAGTCACCTTTTGGCTCTGACTCTCTATCAACATGGCCTTCATCCAGTTATTTAACCTCTCTGTGCCTTGAACTTCTCATCTATCTCTTTAGACAACCATTCCAGCATAGACTGGTTTGGTCCAAGAATCGTACAGAAAGAACAAAAGAACAAAAAAGAATTCAGAAGACAAACCAAGCTCAATGAAAGAAAATCATGAGGACTGACAATCAGAGCAGGAACATTTCCTCAATCATATTAGCCAAGGAGTTTATACAAATCAGCTCTTTTGAGGAATTGAGATCGTCAATTCCTTAAGCAAGGCTATGCTCAAGGGATGCTGGGTTTTCAAAGTAAGTGGGTGAATGAATGAATAAATAAATAAATGATTATAAAACACTTTGTATGTGCTTATTTATGAATAAATACACATCATGTATATATAAAACAAATGTCATTTATTTACCCATGAATATAAGTCTGATCTCTGGTATATGCTAAATACTCTATTTGATATTCTATTTGATTATAAAATATATGTCTTTGGTATGTGTTAAGCAGATACTGTATCTGGTTTTAAAATTTATATTTCTGGTATTTGTTAAACGGATACGGTATTTGATTAAATAATGCATATCACTGGCATGTGTGAAGCAGACACCATATTTGATTATAAAATGAACATGCTGAGCCTGTGGTCATGTGATAGAGGAGCCACCCAGGGTAGAATGGTGAATGCTGAGAACAAATACTGTGTAGAATGAGGAAAGAGGCGTGCAAAGAGGTCACTGGGCAGTGCTAACAGCAGACTTCAGATGGAAAGCCAAGTCTAAATAGTCCTGAAACATGTCTTGATGACATGTTACCACAGCCCCTTGTGTTTGATTTTTTTCCATCTTAAATAGAAACAAGTTATTTGTGAGGAGAAAAAAACATATAAACTGAATTGGAGCCAACAGAATAATTATAAAATTAGATCTTTCAAAAGAAACATACTGACATGGGACTTAGGGTAATTTCTCAGTTATAACAACCTTACCTGCCCTTTGTATTCCACTGGTTTCAGTCCTGCATAAATGGGCACAAAACTGCTAGCTAAGAGAACCTGGATGGATAAAATAAAGATACAATTCATGAATACAGGCATTAATAGTCAGACAATAAATTTGATGTATTATTTACTATAAAAATCTTATTAAATGAATAAGTTCCATATATTTTCAAGTGCACACTGCACATACTTGCAAAAAAGTTAACATTTTTAATATCTGAAAAGACACTCTCTGAATCAATCAATTTCCCCTGAGTAAAAATAAGTATTTTAATTGCAGACAACCAAGTTATTACAAAATTAAGTTTAAGGTAAGTCTAAATTTCTGAGTATGTACAGGTTCCAAATAAATTATACATAATATTCTATCATATACTGTAAAAATCATTTTAAAGTTGTACTCATTTTCCAGAGGAACAAACCCCCTTGGTTATGACAGAGGAGATTAGACTACAGCTCAGAGATGTTCTAATTTATGTCACCAGGATGTACAAAGGAAGCAACACATTTATGTTCTAGCGACATGGTTGGGATATAAATGAAACTCTGGCAACTAGGTACACCAATTATACTTTATCTTCCACTTAAAATGTCGAAAAAGATTGTCATTTAGGATATTACTATTCCTTGCATCATAAGAAGTTAGGTTTTGATAGCTTTTCTGAAATGTAAATGTTTTATTTTGCTGTGTAGTTTCCAAATAACTAATGTTCTATTTGAAAACATACAGCATTAGATACTGAGTATTTTTTAAGCTATAATCTTTCAACTGATAAATGAAAGACTCTATGAATGTTTGTTGTCAAAGATTTCATGAGATTCTTTTTCAACATACATTATTCAGAGATAGATTAAGGCTCAAACACTGATTTGTAAAGCATTCATTTAGAATTACTTAGAACTTAGAAGGCATTTTCCCCAAAAAAACAATATTATAGGTATGGTTTTTAGGTAAGCCCTCAAAAGTCTGTTTATTCTGAACTGCAACTAAATTATAGACCCACTCACCAGTGTGACACGTTTTCTACAGAAAAATCCTCTCTGAGTTGTGGCCTCACACAGCTGCAACCCACTCTTGCAATGTTTATTTCCAGGCCGTGGGCATGGAATTTGGCATCGCTTTCTTGTGTAGTAGCTCTTCCTTGATCATATTTCTTCTGTCTTCTCATTACCAAAAACCCACTGAAGAAACAGAGACTTGTGTCTCTCTCCTGGTATGTCAGTCCTTCACAGGACTGATACTCAACAAATGCCTGTTGGGTGTCTCTCCCTTCTCCATGGTGAGACTGAACACTCCTGACACTCCCCTCATTCTCACTAATCCTTGACATCAACAAGGATTGTCCCATGATGTTGGTGGCATGTTGGTGCAAAGGGACGGGTCCTGGTTGTAACAGCACCTATAGCAGTAGGCTCCTGATAGGTAGCCAAAGATGCTTCTGGGGCCTCAGATTTCAATAGAGGCAAATTCAAAGGCAACAGCACAACACAGGTACTCCAACAGGAAAGAAGACAGGAAATAGCCATGCGTAAAAGTGTTCTGTTGCACCAGGCTGGTGCTGGATGGCGCTATATAATTTGGTGGCCCCATGCAAAATAAAAATGCAGGGTCCCTTGTTCAGAAAGCATGAAGAATTTCAAAATATTGTCAGCAGAGCATTAAACCAATGGTGGTGCCATTTTGATAGGGAAGGCTGGTGCAAAACATCTAGGTTGCACACCCATGAGGTAGTCCCTGCTAGGTACCTTCAAATATAATGTCTCATTTAATTCTCTTACAAATGCTTCTTAAAAAGATGAAGTCACTTGCCTAAATGTCTTTCCGCTAATAAATGGTTCAGACTGCGTCTAGACCTGGTTCAATTTTAATATGACATTTGTTCACATGTATTGTTACCAGGGCCAACATACACAAGTCAGATTTCTTACATTTGGTTCTTTTTTGTCTGTTGCTTTTTCAGCCAATGTTAGGCACATCTACCTCAATCACTTGGTTACTGAATTACTGAATGCATACTAATTTGCAGCACTATTTCCCAGAGGAAAGCAGACACTTTTATTTACTTTTTATGTAATTGTTTGCTTATTTATCACAAGGTATAATAACAACCTCACAGAAGATCTGTCAACCTTCTACAAAGAGTCAATGAAGACATTCCAGCACCAAGGCATTCGTCTCAAAATCTCAGCTTTAAATGTGCTGCATAATAGAACAGTGTGATATTACATCAAACACGCCCATTCCACAAAGAGGCAAGGCAGGAGTATCATTTTAGGTAATTTGTTGAAGATCACTTAACAAATCAATAGGAAAGATAGGATAGAAAGCAAGCATCTTCAGTTCTCTCTCAGCTCTCCTCCCTACCCCGCCCTGCCAATGCCTCTCACCCCATAGTAATGATATCATCGGCAGTTGAGTATTTTTCAGAGAAAGGTTGTTTACAGTTAGGGCACTTGCATTCATCCTAACTAAATTTGACCCTATCATCAGTTAGCTACTTCTTTAAAAAAGCAATCACAAACCCTAGGTATGTTTTGCAAGCACAATGTAGCTACTTAATGAGGTTATTCAGCAAATACAACACTGTACCATGGCAATAACTAGAACAATTTGTGGATAGCACACATATTGTGAAATTACAGTACTTAAAGATCTTTAAAGGACCAAAGACTCTCTATAAATATAACAGTTTACTTCATTATGCCACAGAGACATATGTAGCCTACAAAAAGAAATTATTGCGCTTAGAACCAGAATTATGTTCCTTTTTTCTTCCCTCCTCTCAATGTCAAAGTATAATGCAGTGTTCACAGGTTAATTCTTAGAACTGTTTTGAGGTATTTAGAGAAAAAATGCTATCCAATTACTTTCCTACAGATAATAACAGTAAGAATCCTCCTGAATGTGAAAAGTGCAGCGAACAAGAAAATACCTGTCACTCCTCCAAATCAATGTATTTGTTCTTGTCATAGCTTACTCTCCCTTTATATGGACTGGTGATTTGTATATCAAACTGAATTTAGTGGGAAAATTAGCTTTAGATAGTTAAGAACTAAGTGGCTTTTCTTACTCGTAGTCGGCTTACTGCCATTTTATTGCAGACAAATAGGATTTTCTAAGAAAAGAGACAAAAACTGACATTCTAAGGTCACTTAATAAAATATTATGCTTAAATATGTGCTTTTAGTATATCTGAGCTTGCAGTGTTCCCAGTGAAATTCACCACCAATAAATCTCAATACATCTATAGCAGTGGCTCTCAAGTGGGAACGATTTTACTCCCTAGGAACATTTAGCAGTGCATCTGTGACAACATGAGGTAGGGGGTGTCCTGCTGGCTTCTACTATGTAGAGGCCAGGGATGCTGCTAAACTTCCTACAAAGCAGAGGACAGCCCTCACAACAAAGAATTATCGGACCCCAGATATCAATAGTGCAGTGGCTGTGGTTGTGCATGTTGATGTAGAAAGCAGGGGTCGACCTTTCACACCCCTCACTTGGTAAACACTTTAAACATTATATATATGTGAAACCATTTATTTGATTTTTGTCTTATTCTTTCTAAATACATAAAGATAAAAATGAAAGTTGGTGACTTCCTGTTGCAACAGTATAAAATGCTGCCAAGTGCATATTCAATACACGTTCTAACTGGCTCTTTTCATTTTAGATTTTATAGAAAAGAGGTGTTTAGAAAATTACATGGCTTGGCTTCCTTAGGGAATAAATTCTTAACAAGCTTCGTTTATGCCTAAAGTTTACAGTGGACTTTAATGAGAATCTAACTGTTTATACAGAATCTGCTGGTATAGTTGAAATTCTAAGACGGATACAAATTTATCTTCCCTAGTTTTTTCAACATAATGACCAATCTTAAATTCAGTCCTTATTTCACCTACCCAAGGCTAAATGTGAGAAGATGGCAAGCTTTAAGAGCATTCTTACTATAAGCAAAAAATAAATAAATAGATATCAGGACACAGTAGCAACAGAGACAGAGTAGGCCTTCCCCAGAGGGTCAGGGACACCATTCTGCATGAAAGTCTTCTTGGGTATCGCTGTCAAAAAGCATTCAGAGATGTCAAAAGACTGTTTCAGAAAACATGTGTGCATCACTTTTCAACATGAAAAACGCAATGATTTGCACCAACTCAGGAACTAGAACTCCAATGCGCCAAGGAACTGTTGATTAAAAAAATCATTTCTGCTCAACCTTAGAGGTGATACGTAGCTTTCTTTTAAAGATAGGACTTACCTCCATAGTTATGTTAAGCTGAAGGCTAATATTAAAATGGGATTGGATTTCCTGGTTACATGTATGCTTCTAAAGAAAAATATACCAGAAAAAAAATTGGAACCTAGAATGAATGAGTTGGTATGCAAAATGCACACACCTGGATATTCAGGGAATAGTGGTCGAGTGGTGCACCAAGATAGAAATCATTAAGGAATCATGCCACAGAATGAAGGGTGTGAAGGGATGGATGTCAGGAGGGTGGAGGCCCTAAAGGTGGCTGTGTATGCCTGGTAAGTACCTAAGAGTTGAGGAAGCGTGTTCACATATATTTCATTTGAACAATGTGAGGTGGGTGAGACTGGATTTCATTTCACAGACAAAGAAACCAAGGTGCTGAGTAGTTGAGACTGGCCACAGACTTCGCAGTCCACCAACAACAAGTGTTAGGTAGGTATACACTGCTCCTTCAATATTCTTTCCCATCCTCAAATAATTATCTGCATTTACAGAAACTATTTTTAGTTTGGTGTTGATCTGTTGATGACAACTGATCCAAAGACATAAAGGATAGGTGGATTTGATTCTTAGAGGGAATATTCTTCCAGATGTGGCACCCAAAATAAATCTCTCAAACTGATGGGAAATAAAGGCAAGATAATTGAATGAGGGGACATTCTTGGGCTCTGGTTGAACTTTATATTGGGCTCTCCCATCTGCAGACCACCTCAAATTCATTTGGCAGCAAATATCACCTGTGTTTCCTTGTCTCAGCATAGTCACTATTGGGGAGGATTGGTTGGCATCAATCAATTCTGGACAAAATAATGTCTGAGGGCCATGCATCTGTTTTATGTTTTATAACAGGGGTGCACAAACCTCACGCCATGGACCCATACTGGTCTGTGGCCCGTTAGGAACTGGGCCACACAGCAGGGGGTGGGCAGTGGGTGAACAAGTGAAGCTTCACCTGTATTTGCAGCTGCTCCTCATTTCTTGCATTACTGCCTGAGCTCTGTCTTCCATCAGATCAGCTGCAGCATTAGATTCTCATAGCAGTGTGAACCCTATTGTGAACTGTACATGCGAGGCATCTAGGTTGCATGCTCTTTATGAGAATCTAATACCTGATGATCTGAGGTGGAGTTGAGGCAGTGATGCTAGTGCTGGGGAGTGGCTACAAATACAGATTAATATTAGCAGTGAGGTTTGACTGCACAGAGACCATAATAAATCAATTGCTTGCAGAATTTTATCAAAACCTCATCAATGAGTGACAAGTGAGTTGATGTACTTCAATTGTACAGTTGCATCTGGTGGCAGGCTTTAAATCAAAATCTGAGACTTACTTTAGTCTGCATGTGGGCTATTTATTATTTTATTTATCACTTCTGTCCACAATTTTTTTAAATGGTGAGTTGTATAATTATTTCATTATATATTACAATGTAATCATAATAGAAATAAAGTGCACAATAAATGTTATGCACTTTAATCATCCCAAAAGCATTCCCACTTCCTCCAGTCCATGGAAAAATTGTCTTCCATGAAACTGGTCCCTGATACCAAAAAAGGTTGAGAACCGCTACCTTATAAAGTAGAAAAGACTGAGTCAAACCACCAAGGATATAAGATTCAGAATTTTATGGAAATCCAACTCCAAACAAAGGCATTTTGAGGGCACACAATTGGGCAGCAGGGCTTCTCAAAAAACAATCAACTAGCATTGCAGCTATCAAATAAAAGAATAGCTTTCCATTTACTAAAGGTGAAGTTAATTAAGACAATTTAAGTATGAATTATCAAACAAATTTTTTTTAAAGAAGGCCTGTAGTGCCAACAAAATCAAATGCCTAAAGGTGACCAAAAAAACTCAGTAGTAATTCATTTCCTGAAATATTATAGATAGAGTTTAGTATCTTGTTCATGAAAAACAAAGGTGATAAGGGTTAAAACATAAAATTGATAAGAAGGGGTAAGGCCAACTCAGCCTGAAAAAATAAAGTTGTAATTTAAGATGGCTTTAAAGTTTCAGGACAGATTCATACAGGGGTGCTGAGCAGTGGTATGTATGAGTTATCTTATTCATTCATTATTTATGAAATATTGGCCCTAGTCAACATGCATATGGGGTTTTACCATTTAAAACACTTCACATACTTTATTTTATTTGTTCTCCATAGTAGCTAGAGTTACTGTGCTAATGATTCCATTTCACAGATGAGAAAACTGAAGCTCAAAAATAAGTCTAAGAAGACAGGATCAGGAAATGCTAGAGCTAGACATGATCACCAGAACACTCATATAAAACAATTAATCATCCCAGGAAGTGTTCAAAAATGACCTCAAAGTATACACAAATGCACACCACCCAAACACACACAGAAACACTAAGCTACAGGTTTCTAGTTGGATTTTCAGGTCCATAAACATCCCGACTATAGTAAAGAATAGCAGTTAGCTGGTGAATGATAAAAAGCCAAAGCTTTTTAAAAATTCAACTAGTAAGAAACAGAATAAATGAATTAATGATAAAAGTAGATAGAAAGTGGTAGACTTAAAGGAGGTCAAAATTATCAGTATTTATTATTTCATTATTTTCCCATGTGCCTTTACTCTAACTTGAGTTTTATTCTCTCTCTCTCACTCTCTTCCTCCCTCCCTCTCTCCTTCCCTCCACCTTCTCGCCTTCTCTGTGTGTGTCTCTCTCTCTTATTCACATCTACAGAATTTCCAGATATTGGCTTGTAGACCAAGGTTCTGTGTTTAGAGCCACATATACAAAGCCCTGGGAGGCCTGGAGTTGCGCATCATCTACACATTATTGGGCACCTTCCGCTCCTGACTGCAGAACCCAGAGCCTCCAGTCTCCACCAAAGGGCAGCAGTGCTACCTTTAGACAGCTTATACCCCTTCTCCCAACCAAAAAGGTCAGAACAACCATCCTCCACAGCACCAGCTTGGACAACATCTGCCCACTGGTCTTCTCTTTCCCAAGAATATATAAACTTGATCGTGTTGATTTTGGCAGGGGATTATTTTATTTCCTCTTCACACTTTTTTCTTTGCTCCCTCATGCCTAATCTCCACTCATCCCAGCCTTTTCCAGGCATAGATTTCATACAGTTCTATAGACATCATCCGCTATCAAGGAACTATCCATTCTTCCTTATTTTTAGTTCTAAGAAATGTTAAAGCAGCCTAATAAACATTTAGAATGTTTCTTGCGTAACCTAGAATAAATGCTGATTATTCAATATTCTCTCACAACGTATTTCACATATGTGTCAACTATTTCTCTTCTGCTCATTGAACATTTCACATGTGTCAACTATTTCTCTTCTGCTCAATGAACTCAAGCAATTATACCAATTCTCTGAATAGTTATTATCTAAAACAAAGGAAATAGAAAAACATTGTGTTTACTTAAAAGCCATAGTTTACTACTGCTGTTATAACAAATTACTACAAAATTAAAGGCTTAAAACAAGACAAATTGATTATCACACAGTCTAAAGATCAAAAGTTAGGTACGGGTCTCACTGGGCAAAATCAAGGTGTTGGCAGGGTTGTGCTCCCTTCTGGAGGCTGTAGGGGAGAACTTCTTTCCTTGCTCCTTCAGGTATTAAAATAACTCAATTCCACATGGTTGCAGGGCTGAGGTCCCTTTTACTGACTGTCAGTGGGGAACGGCCTTTCTAAAAACTTCTGTGCACTCCTGGCTTGTGGGGTTCCTACATCTCAGAACCAGTAATGGTGTGTGTCAAATCTAGGAGAGGTCTCCATTTTTAAGGATTCGTGTGTTAAGTTTGGGTAATCCCAAACTTGGATAATCCAGGATCATCTCCCAATCTCAAGATCTTTAATTTAGTCACATCTACAAAATTCCCTTTGTCATGTAAGGGTACATCTGGAAACATTCTGGGAATTAGGGTAAGGACATCTTTGGGGCCATTCTTCTATCTACCACGCTCCCAAATAAGAGGAATAGAGAGGATGACCATTTTATCCAGTTTGGAGTATAGTTAAAGCAGGATGCTAAACACATGGACTACAGACCTGACTGAGTTTTAAGTAGCTGGGCTTTTTTTGCCTAGGTCATTGAATAGGGAGGGCCCAGATTCTTTGTTAATTTCTTTCATTTTAAATTAGGCCATGGTAGCAGATGCCACCTTGGTTCACATTCATTACTTTCGCACATATTGATAAAGTGCCTACATTGTGGCTATGAGGTTCTGGGCTGTAGTAATGGGCAACCCAGAGAAATCCCTGCTTCTTGGGGCTTACTATAGAAAAGGAAGATGAACAGTACAAGCTATATTAAAAAGTAGTAGAATAGTAGTATATAAAACAGCAATAAGTAAATCAGGATGAGATGTAAGAAGACAGAAACTGAGAGTTCTGCCATTTTAGACAGAGTAGCCAGGGACAGGCTCCATGAGAAGGGGAGAGCTGAGGGAAGAATTCCTCCTTTGTTCTATGACACAGGAGCACACTGTGTCCTATACAAACCAGAAGAGGCATGCTGATCCACGGCAAGGCTTATGTGTCTGCATTGGACAATGACAACTTGTGACCATTTAGGCATGAGTTGACCAACTCTTCCCTTTGTATTGTCACGTCGACATAATATTATAATAAGAGTATAGAAAAAAAAAACTTTTTCTAAATAGAAATACTTATTTTAAAAGCAAGAGACTGGCATAATAGGTATATCGAGTGTGTGGTAATTTTATTTGTCAGTTTAACCTTTCATTAAGTATTTCAAATTACAGCATCCGAACAGAGTAAAAAAAATAAATAAATCAATGCATGTATCATCTAATTCAGGTGGAACTTTTACTACTCACCTCAACGCATTACTTGCTACTATGTCAAAACATACATTCTCCAAATTACCTGAAGCCACGATTTGTTCAAAAGGGAAAACAAAAGCAAATTCTAAGAAAAGTACACCTTTTCCAATTTACAAATATTCAGTGCATTACCACAGAAAGTACATTGTTGTTTGGAAATCAATCAGCTAAAGTATTTCCCAGAGATAATGAATTTTCAACCAACCAACTTTCAAATGTGTTTGGATAGAAAGGGATCAAAACAAAACAGAAGAAACAAAATGGAACATTAGATTGGAAAGTTAAGAGACCTGGGTGCTAAAATCGGTTCCCACTGGCATGCAGGGTAACCTTGGTTATATACATACATCACATAAAACCTTTCTATCCATTTCTTCTTTGATAAAAATATGAAAGGGCCATAATAACACCTGTCTTACCTGATTTACAGAAGGACTATTGAAGGATTGAATAAGAGAGTATATGTTAAAAGCTCTACATAAACTGCAAAGTATTAGCTACATAAATTTAAGAAACTATTATTGCTACTAAACAGCATCACTGACTTGTTTCACATAATAAATGTGAGACCTGGGCATCAGCAGGAAAACACTGAACAAGTACAAGAAGCTTCTGGATCACAGTGATTCTTGAGGAGGCCTCAGGAGGGATCTTGGTGATATTTCATCAAACACGTAATATACTGAGCACTTAACCATCTAACAGACTTGATATGAGACACAGGATCTCAAGAACATGGTAATGCTCATTACTTATATGAAGTATTCAAATCAGCACTGGCTGATTTCCTCAAACAGGAAATGCAGCATTGTTACCTTAATGAGGTCTTCCCTGGAGGAAAAATTGGAGACTAAGTAATTTTCTCTGGTTTTAGTGTTGGTGATGGATACATGCAGTCGATTCTGGGCCAGGCTGTGAGCGTTGGAAGGAAGAATTGACTCCATACCACTTCTACAGAAGAGAAAGCGATCTGCATTATTCACCTTCAATTATTGAATGCCTCATAAATATTTTAGAAGAGTGAATGCTGAGCTTGCCACAGTTTGTACAGAGGCATCAACATTCTGTCTTCAATACTTTGGGGCAGAATATACTCTCTATATACCTCAGTCGGGCCATGAAGTCATAACCAGGCGTCACTGCCCCAAAAGACTGTCTTCTGATTTCTTCAGCAAACTTGTATGTAAATTGGTTGCATTCCTGAAAAAGAAAATTAATAAGTAACCCTATGTGTTGTTAGAAAAAAAATCCACTTCCAAAACTCAGTGCCCATCACACAATGCTCTGGATTCTATACAGCCAAACCTCAGACTTAGGGAGCCACACTGTTTCACAGGTGAGCAAAGCACCCACCAGGCGTGGGCCTCACCCACCATTCTCAGGCCATCTGCAAGTTATATGTTCTCACAATCTCAATTCTTGTATTTTCTTTTTAAACTACCTTAAAGGGCCTGTGCTCACATCGGAAAAATCCTTGAAGGTTCAATTTGAATTCTAATTGAGCACATTCTTCAAAAGATTTCCTCAACACAATTAACTTCCTTTCCTTCCCCAATTCTGTGGCCTCAAAAGCAGTTTGATTAAAACTCTGTAACAGAGCTAATTACTAATGACACCACCAATGACAGAAGTGGTGATGTCTATGGTTTGCACGGATTAAATCAGAGTTTTGGAGATTAGTCTTGGGCACTGGTATTTTACAAACGTCCCTCAGGGGGTGCTTGTGGGCACCAGGACTGGGATTCACAGAGGCTGATTCTGTCAGTTTTTCTTCCCATAACCCTGCAAGGTGGGTTTAACCATCCCATTTGACAGGTAAAAGAACTGAGGCTTGAAGAGATTAAAAACCTATTCTAATATCTTGCCAAAAAATGATTGTCAGAAAAAATAAACCCAGGTCTATCTTTTATTAATTAACTAATTAATCAATTAATTCCAGCAACTGACTGGGCCACAGGGCTACTGGGCTAGTCACTGGGCTCTGGGGGAAGCAAGAGAGAGTCCCTGTTCTCATCTCCAAAAGCAGATTACAGAGTGCTGTGAGAGTCCCCATGAAGGTGTAGTAGGAAGAATCAAGGCCTCTCCCCTCCCCTCAAAGATGTTCATATTCTAGTCCCTGGAACCTGTTACTATGTGAACTTCCATGCCAAAAAGGACTTTGCAGATGTGATTAAGTTAAGGATCTCGAGATGGTAAGATGATCACAGATTATATGGGTGGGCCCAATATCTTCACAAGCGTTCTTAGAAGGAAAAGAGGGAGGCAGGAGGGTGAGAGTCAGAGAGATTTAAAGATGCCGTGCTTATGGCTATAAAGATGAAGGATGGACCCAGGCGCCAAGGAATGTGGGCAGTTACTAGAAACTGGACAGGGCAAGGAAGCAGATTTTCCCCTAGAATCTTTGGAGAGAGAGAGCATGGCCCTGCTAACATTTTAATTTTAGCTCAGGAAGACTTTTTCAGACTTATGATGTCCATCACTGTAAGATAATAAATGCCTGTTATTTTAAGCCACTAAATGTATAGCCATTTGTTACAGCAGAAACAAATACCGTGGGTATCACCTTCGAACCTCAGGGGTTGCCAAAGGCTTCTCTTCAATTTGACATCTGGGTTGGAATCTAAAATTTGCATAGGAGCTAGACAGGGGATAGAGATGTAAGAGGACACAGTAAAAACAACAGCAAGAAAAACCCACAGAAGGGCACAGAGCTGAAATGTTTCATGGAGAATTACAAGTAAGGCTATTCCACACAGGGCCTTGTGATGCATGCTGAGAAAACTGGGCCATACTATCAGAAGTCAATAGAGTTCCTGTGGGGAATGAGATGCTCAGATTTGTACTTGGGTAATATTATTCTAAGTGCTTCAAGGTGCATAGACTGTAGGAAGCTGCAATGGATACAGTTTAACCTAACAGGAAGCCACTAGAAGCTTCCAGGTGAGAAATGAGGACAGCCCCCCAAAATAGGGTGTTTGTTCTACTAAGTTAGACTGTCCATCTAGGCTATTTCCTTGTATGAATTTTAGTTGCACATACATGTATTATATTCCTGACCAGACTGCAAATTTGTTAAGGAGTAGACTTATTCATCTTTGAGTTCCCCACTGTGGCTGGCACCATGCCTTCCTTGCAAATTGTGAGGGCAGAGGAAAGGTTTGCAGCATTGAGCTCTTACATATCAATGTCTAAATTTGCCTCCCACCGAAAATATGCCCAGAATCAGGTGTTCCTCTTAATTATACATGCATAAGCTCGGAAGAAGATTAATTACACACGTATTTGTCACAACAGTGAAAAGCTTGAGGAACTTACCCCATCAGTGAGAACTGAACTAACACAAATTGAATAGGTAGAAAAATTTGCTACAAAAACTCAAAACAATACTACAAATGAATTATTTCAAATGCTATTTTAAAAGAAATAAAATAACCTTAAGTTAAAAGGCTATTGTGGCTGAAAGATTATTTTGAAAAAGGAGAAACAAGGATGTCCTAAGTAAACAAAGAGAATAATTTCCCACCTTCCCATGGAAGTATCTGATAAACACTTAATTTTTTCATCACACCAACACAATAAGACAATACAACTGAGTCTCCAGTTTAGTGCAAAAAATAAACAACAGGTAGTTTGAGTTGAAAATGATTATATTAAGTCTTAAATACAGGTAAATTATTCAATATCTTAACATTGCAGAATTTCAGTTAAATGGCTGCATTTTGGCAGTATATCCAAATCATGTTAATTCTAAATCACACAAGACATTTCTAAATTTGTTGAGGGTTGGAAGCCAAGTCTACCCAATTCCAAAGCTTAGTATTTGCCCTAGCTAAAGGCAAGACTGCACTAAAAAGGAGGAAGTGACTCCCTAGAAGCCTGCTGTTTCAAAAAGGAAACTTCTGAAAAGGCGCTAGCTTGCAACTGAAAGCATATGATTCTGCTAGTTTAGGGGGCGTTTTCACACCTTATTTATACTTTTCCTGACTCAAGATTCTCATCCTGTGTAATCTCTAGAGTTTTTAATCACTTTTCTAGTTCCCTGTAAATCAACCATAAAAAGAAAGGAAGGAAAGATAAGTGGATTTCTGAATAACTGGCCTCAAATCCAGCTTCCATTTGATAATGAGCTCACAATAGATCTGAGAATGAGATTCTGATGTTTAAAACTGGGTAGTTTTGAAAATTTAAATGTGACTGAAATTTACTTTTGGGCATGAGTGTGTTAAATTGCTATTTTCTTATTGTTCAAAGTCACTAGAGTATGTAAGTAATTAACATATAATATTCTCCAACTAGCTCTCACAGTCAGCAAACAATTGATCACTGTCTAGATAGCAGAAAACAGATTTTTAAAAATAAATTGCATTAAATAAAATACCTAATGAGGGCTTATTTTTATTATTTCTGGATAAATTGCTTGGAACTCAGAGCTTCCTCTTACTGTGAGGATTAAAAACAAATTAAATTCTCATACCATTCCACTTAATAGAAATTTCATGCCCACATTTTAATTTATATATCTATTTGTAAATAGCAATGAGCAGAGCATTGTAGGCCACATGTTCAAGGCCTTGAAAAGAGGCCCTATGTTTTCTCATCATTACAGAAAGAAGAAATGTCCTTTGCTTGAAAAGGATCAGACCTGGAATCTTAAGAATAAATAAAAACTCAAGACATTTTATATCCTTATTTCACTGTCACCCCAAATAATCTTCTATTCCACATCCAGGGTACATATCCCTAATGATTAAATTTTAAAGGAAAAGTCTTAACCTTTTCTGTTTCCCAGGCAAAGGATTATTTCTCTGTAGAGATAACTTAATAGAGTCAATACTCATGTTTTCTGTTCACTCTTAATTTCTTGATGAGGAGCACAGCGTAGTGACTACTTAATTACCTCTATTTTTTCTGGTGCTGTTAACAGGACAGAAGCAACCAAAGATCCCGCAGAAGCTCCAGCAAAGGCCTTGACATCCTTCAGAAGCTTGTTGCCATGTCTGCACAGTGCAGATGCTGCCCCCAAGTGGTAAATGCCCAGAAATCCACACGCTGCAAATGACAAGTTGATGTGCTTCATTCTAGCTGCGGAATAAGCAATAAAAAAAAAAAAGAAAGAAAAAGGAATGCTATAAGTTGGTATAGTTTATTACCTATACCACGTAGTCTTGTGCTGATAATTGTTCCAAGGCTTTCTTCTAATATATCATTCTCTGTTTTAAGCACAATCGTTTCAATTCATTCTAATGAAACACAGGAACCTTTCAAGAAAAACTTTTCCATCATCATCTTGACCAAATAGTCATATATACATTTTAAATTATAACAGTCCATATTTGTTCATTACATAGAATATGCAGCCTGCTATTTAATTACTTAGAAAGAAACAGATGTATAACTTCCAACTGGCAAGGACATTTGGTCTTTTTTCTTGACCTTTTGAAACTTTTTGTGGGAGAGTAGGGTGCTACTATGGTGGGAACAGAAAATTATTCGAGATTGTACCAAATTACAAATAAATAACACATTTACTCTTCGTAAGTGTACTAGAAGATTTCAAATATAGGTCCCTGCTCCTGTCCCTCACTTCTATTGTGAGCATCCATATGTTTTAAAACACTACCTACAATCACTCCATAATGCAATAAAGTTATTGAACAATGAAATACATTTCATTGTCAAGTGCCTCAAGACAAACTGAGGTCATGACTGGCGAAGTCAACTGAAGGCTCCATGAAATGTCAGCCACACAACTTTATACTTGCAACACATCTATATACAAAATGCTACGTTTTCCTGTGCCTCGGTGGGCACCATTTGCTCACGTGAATGAAATCATGACCCCACACGGCTCCCCACTCTGAGGTCCTCAGAGTTTCCTCGGTGATCCATAGGCCCTCATTCAGAAACCCTGAGATCAGACACATGGCCAGGACCTCGAATTTCGAGACCTAAAACTGCTTATTCTGATGCACCTGCCCAAGTCCGGGTTTTGATTCCATTTTGGCAGATGAGGGCGGAGAGGGGATCGGGTGGTCAGTTTCCAGGTGGCCAGGCCTGACCTGCGCAGGGGCAGTGCCCGGCGGCTTGGAGGAGGCAGGGCAGAGGTTGCAGCCGCATCATCCCCTAGGCAGCACACTCTGACCCTCCCGACCCTCGCCGGACCCCGGTGTTCCGTCGTACCAAGTAGTCCTGAGGTACTTCCGAGTTGAGCGGTCCCCTTAATCAGAAGGCCGGGCCTGACCGTCACTCAACGAGGCTCCGCCTATCAGGGCCGGGCCACTATTGCTGGGAGCCCGCCCAAGAAGGTCCTACAGTGAGAGTTAGCACCGCCTCCCCGCGCAGATCGACGACGTCATTGCACCGACGCAGGTGACCGCCCCGGTCTCGCCTGCTGTATTTAAACCTCTGGACGCAACATGGTGGCGCCCGCTCGGCCGTCGGCCGCTCGACCGAAGTATCGCCGAGTGCAGGCAAGACTTTCTAGTGTAGAATCACGCTGTCTTCGGACACCTGGAGAGGCGTTTTAACCGCCCCCCTGTGCCTTTCAGCTTGACTTGCCGTTCTGGCCCTCACCTGTGAGCCTGCTGAGTTTTCATCACCCTCATCGGCTGTGCTCCGGAAGTGCCTGCCCCTTTCGGGTCTGTTTTCCGGAAGCGGTTCCTCTCCATCCGTCCCTGCTACCCGCCTGGGCGGTCCACTTGCCCCTGAGGGCGGAGTCCAGGGGCTACTTGGGGGCAGGCCACCCTGCTGCTTTCCAAAGCCTACCTTTGGTTTTTCCCTACTTGTCTTTTGGGGGTTTTTTTGTTTACTTTCTGAAAGTAAAAAAGGTTTATTTTTATTTTATTTATCAGTATTACACATACAGATGTTTTTCCTTAAAGTGATTGAAATTGTATTCAAAACAAAATATTCATTTTAAACTGTCATGATTTAGAACAGAAATATACACATACTACCTTAACCTCAACGTTTCTATTAACTGTGTAACTTTAAACAATTCATTTTTAGTTCCTAAGCTCATCTGTGGAATAAAGTAATAAATTCAGCCGTTCTATCATTTTTTATTAAAACTATAAAATTCCCTTAAATTGATAGGTATGTGAAAAATACACCATTTTTAGTATCAATTTTACATGATGCTTGCAACTTTCATTCATTCACTAAATGTAAATGTATTTATAACCTCCTACATTTTTTAACAAGTAAGTCTGTGGAAATGAAAGACCTATGCCTTTGGGCCGCTTTCACATCCTCATTTGGCCTTCTGCTGTATGACCTTGGACAAGTAACATACATAATCTCTGGGAGCTCCCCAGGTGGTCCGTCTGCAGGATGAAAATGATAGAGCTCCATGTAAAGCTCATGCCACATAAGGAGCCCTCAGAAGATAGTCTCTGCTCCTTCCTCTGGTACCTCTGACTCTGGTCAGACTTGAGAAGCAGCTTCAATAGTAGCCAAAATGCCGGACATCTCCAGCCAAATGTAAAGGACTGACAATTCACTCTCTCTCCATGTAGTGTCTTCCCCATCTAATCCTAATAACCCAGCCTGGAGGAATCTCAGGCTTCATGACTGAAGTTCTCCAGGTCCATGGTTTAAGGACAAAGATTTATTCTTATTGAAGCTATGAAGGAGAATCAGATGCGAGTGTCTCTACCTTCAGCAAAACAGGGAGGATGGGTGGAACTCTCCAAACTACCTCTGCCTTGGGCTTTTTCTCCCTCTTTTGGAGTGCTACCTCTGGCACACAACACTTTCTGTAAGTCCTTGACATGATGACTAAGGAAGAAATTTAGTTTTTAATTCACATAAACTTCCAAAACAGCCAATCCTAGAAACACACTAATGCCTGAGCATAGCATAACTGTATTACGCAGAATTCTTTACTTAAACTAGAATTTAGTAAAGGGAAGGAGAAGCGTGCATCAGGGAAATACAGGAGGACATACTCTTCAGTCCTTCAGCCTTTCTCTGTCCTCAAACTCTTTGTGATTGAGTGTTATTCTTCCCATATGAGCATCCTCCAGGAAGCTTGTGAGAAAAGAAGAATCCCAAGCCTCCGCTTAGATCTACTGAATAAAAATTTGCATTTTACCAGAATCCACCTGGTATTGCTATGCACATTAAAGTTTGCAAAGCACTTGTCTAGCTCCTGTACTGGAGTTACGGTATGTTTCTATACCTCCAAAATTCACACATTGAAATTCTACCCCCCAAGTGGTGGTGTTAGAAACCGAGGCCTCTGGAATGGAATTAGGTCATGAGGGTAAGAACCTCATGAATGGAATTTGTGCTCTTAGAAAAAGGAAACGAGAGAGCCCTCTTTCCACCACATAAGGACAACAACAATGAGAACATGGCAATCTGCAACCTGGAAGACGGCCCTCCCCAGAACCTGGCTATGCTAGCACCCCGATCTCAGACTTCCATCTTCCATAACTGTGAAAAATTTCTTTCTTTTAGTCTATGGTATTTGGTTAAATAGCCTAAATGGACTAAGACAGGTCGTCTGGCTTAAAGTGATGTAGTGGCATCAAAAGTTTGAGAGACTAAATCCACAGAATCACAATCCGGGGTGGTGGTGTTGGCAGAGCAAGTATTTCTTGCATTTGGACACTGCTAACAGATTGATTCAGAAGACAAATGAAAAGTTTATCACTGGGCAGTCTGGATGAACACCACAATTTTGGTATCTTTTGCTTAAAGGAAAAATAAGGACACCTGTTAATTTTACACCTGGCTGACAGACTGAGAGATCCTACCAAATGTAAATCTCATTGGAGCACCAAAATGCTCCATGATTTAACTTTGAAAATTTTAAACTTGCTTCTTTCTTACTCTCTTCTACCTCATATCATATTTCCATGTAACTAGTTAAGAAGTTCAGCTTCCTAATGTAAGGAAGAAGATTGAATTCATTCGCATTTGTCTTTGTCATCTTAGTGCCAAGCATAGTACTTGGCACATAGTATATGATCAATTAATATTTGTTTTGGATGTTGGATTTAAGTAAATTACCATTGTGATCTGAATATATAGTAATTTAATTGCCCTTTAAAACATTTTTTGGTAATTAATTTGCTTATTTTTTGCTTTTCTATTTGTCTTAGTAATTTAGTTTTGACGTGGTATATTTAGATAGCCATTCATCACATAGTTATTAAGCATTTATTGTATAGCAAGTGTGTAGAGCAAGTATTGTGTTGATACAGGGCATACAGAATTGACAAGAATTCAGCCCTTATCATTAGGGATGCAGAGTCCAGCTGGTAGGGAGACATCTGAAGTTTAATTACAGAAGCATAATGATGTGCACTTGCAAAGACACACACAGGTGCCCTGTGTGTGCACACTGAGCTAGAGAATAGCTCTGGGAGACATCTATAATAAACAAAGTGTCCCATAAACAAAGTGCCCAAGCCTCATGACTCCTTTTACTGTTCAAAGCTTCCTCCTGTAAGATTTTATCATGTATTCCCCTTAAAGAAGGAAAGAGGTACATGGATAAGGGATGCTTGCCCAACCTCTGACGCAGGGGCAGGACCTTATTTCAGAATCTTTAAGTCTAATCTCTTCTTCCAGTCTACTCACCTAGTACTGTTGTTTCATTTTTCAATCTTGGCATCTTAACATATTAATACTTCTTCTTGTCTGGCTTTCCATCATCGTCACTTCAATACAGTACCCTTATCCTCTCTCCTGTTTACTATATCCTCATCTTTGTCACCTCTTCCCAAAATCTTGCAAACTGAACTGGATGAACTGTAGAGATTGGATGCATGCGTTTTAATTCCAGAGGAATATGGTCACACTGTTGGAGCACATGGCACTGCCCTTTCCCTGGGGCCTCAAGGTAATAACTCATGCTGGCATGTCCTCTGTGCCTAGTTTAAGTGATGTCTTGTCTTGAGACCACCATGGAACTCAGAGAAAGGGACTTTTACAATCTTGAGATAGAACTCCCCATCTGAAACCACAGAGAGAGGAGCTGCCTCCTTCCCACAAATGGATATCTCTAGGGACAAAGTGAGAGAATATGTGCAAAAGGTAATCAGCGAATGCCACCATGTGGTGAGAGCCAGCATGAAAATAGAGGCAGCTTAGAGGGAATCTGAGCTGACAATTGGGGAAGGGGGTGAGTAGGGGGCAGACCTAAGCCTAGGTGTGGTGACAACTCTTGAGCCTGTAGATGCAAGTATAATATACATTGAGCTGAAAAATCAAGAAGGTAAAAATTTCCTGAGTGTTTCTATTGTTGTATTAGAATTCCTTAATTGTAGTGCTTGCAGCTGATGTGTTCTAGGTAAGTGTAAGAACAGGTAAGCTTTCAAAGTATTCATACCTAAACTGTATATTCTATATTCCTGACTCACTTCCCCCACTGAACTCGCCCATTTCTATTTGCTTTGCTTAGTTAGTTGGTTAGTTAGTTAGTTAGTTAGAATTGGGTTTCTAAAGTTTTCAAGCCTTGCAAGTTTATATTAGTTCTTACTAATATAAGTGCTTTTTACAATGCATGGAGTTATTTTCTCTCTAATAGAAATATGCTGCAAAAACTGGTTACTAGCCAGGTGTGGTGGCTCACATCTGTAATCTCAGCATTTTTGGAGGCATAGGCAGGAAGATTGGTTGAGCCTAGGAGTTCAAGACCAGCCTAGACAACATAGTGAGTTCTCATCTCTCCAAATTTTTTTTTTAATTAGCTGAGTGTGGTGGTGCATGCCTATAGTCCCAGCTCCTCAGGAAGCTGAGATAGAAGGATCGCTCGAGCCAAGGAGTTTGAGGCTGCAGTGAATCACAATTTTGCCACTGCACTGCAACCTGGGTCACAGAGTGAGACCCTCTCGAAACAAAGCAAAACAAAGCAACCGATTACTTAAAGGAATGCTGAGTTAATCCTTTCTAAATGAAACATTTTTTTTCAAAAAAGTATGTGTTACATATATATACCATATTGTATTACATATTACTGTTATATACATGCACACATATTTATATAAAAGATTTTTCTATGCTAACTATGTGCCTTAGTCCATTTGGGCTGCTATAACAAGATACCACAAACTGAATGACTGATAAACAATAGAAATGTATTTCTCACAGTTCTGGAGGTTGGGCGTTCCAAAATCAAAACAGTAGCATATTTAGTGTCTGGTTATCTGGTTGGTTCATAGATGGCACCTTCTTGCTGTGTCCTCACGGTGGAAGGGGCTGGGGAACTCTCTGAGGCCTCTTTTGTTAGGGCATTAATCCCAGTCATAAGCCTCCACTCTTATGAATTAATCACCCCCCAAAGGCCCCACCCCCAACACTACTGCATTGAGGGTTGGGTTTCAACATATACATTTGAGTGGAAGGGCACACACATTCAGACCATAACAATCTGAAAACATAATTCAAGATAGACATCCTTAATAAATATAATTTATTTTTATTCACTATATCTGATGGCATGGTGTTGAAACTAAATCTCAAACTATTTCTATGAAAGAGAAACTTTTTTTTATATGTAAGACTTACTGGGCAACCCTCTTTCAGATCCTCTCCCACTGCAGGAGCTTTTCAGTATTCTTAATAAATTCTTGCTTTCTCAAAATAAA